ATCACTTATAGGCTAAAAGGAATTCTTCCTTGCTCCAAAGTTAAAAAAGAACTGGAGATGTCACTTTTTTGTGCAGGCTCTTGAGCAAACTCAAAGCTGTGAGAAAAGTTCCAGCTCTAGCTCACAAATCCCCACCCCTCAGCCCAGCTAATTATGCAGCCCTTAAAATTCATACAAGACTAGGGCAGCGCCTGTGGCCTAGCAGGTAGGGCACCAGCCCCATATTCAGAGGGTGGCAGATTCAAACCTGGCCCTGGCCAAACTGCAACAAAAATATAGCTGGGCATTGTGGCAGGTGCCTGTAGTCCCAGCTACTCGGGAGGCTGAGGCAAGAGAATCACCTAAGCCCAAGAGCTGGAAGTTGCTGTGAGTTGTGATGCAACAGCACTCTACCAAGGGCAATAAAGTGAAACTCTGTTTCTACAAAAAAACAAAAAAATTCATACAAGACTAAAAATACAGAAAAATGCCCAACAGAATTTTATACTTGGATGTCAATAAACCATTTTACTTAGATTACCTTTAGGTTGGGGGTAAAATGAGTGATTCCTCCCCCCCTTTACTTTGTAATGTTTTTCGAATTTTCTGTAATTATATTTTCATAAAAGAAAGATTATTTTTAAGTCTGTCCATGTGTACAATTACCTATATTTTTAATTCTACTACATATAAGCATTTTGTACCATTAAACACATATTTTCTGGCTTGGCGCCTGTAGCTCAAATGGCTAAGGCACCAGCTACACCTGAGCTGACAAGTTCAAATCCAGCCCTGGCCCACCAAACAACAATACCTGCAACCAAAAATAGCCAGGTGTCAGTGACAGGCACCTGTAGTCCCAGCTACTTGGGAGGCAGAGGCAGGAGACTTGCTTGAGCCCAGGAGTAGGAGGTTGCTGTGAGCTGTGATGCCATAGCACTCTACCCAGGGCAACAGCTTGAGGCTCCATCTCAAAAAAAAAATAAAACAAAACACGAATTTTCCTATATTGCCAGTGTTTATGATGACCAATTTTAAGTTCAGACAGTACTATGTTAATTTCTTGGATATAATTTTTAGCCTTCATATACAGTGCTGCAATGAACATGCCATTTCCAGCATTTTAAAAAGGGCAATAAAAGTATCTTAATCCATAGGATTTTTTTTGTGAGGATTAAGTGAGTTAAGAGAAATCATAACAATTACTTAGTAAACCAACAGCAGCTTTTGTT